ACAGGCTGAGCCACCGGGCCCGGCTAAGTCAGTCTCTTACACTTGGGACTTGCTCTTTCCAATTTCCAAGAGAAAATGGGGTGCCCCTTTCACACTCAGATCGACAGTCTTCTCCAAGCAGGTTCAATTGTTAGGCAGGGCGGGAAGCTGTGACACCCCTCAGTTCTGATCACAGGCCAGTGATCATGCTTCCCACTCCAGCAAAGCATTTTCCTGGCATTTGCACACCATGTGGTTCTGTCTTACTTGTCCCAGTTTCAGCTCCCACCTCCATCAGACTGCAAGGCAAGGAAGGCTGTGAACACAAGGCTACCTTCTTCGGTACAAAGTATTTTTCCCTAATCTGAGACATTAGGTCTTACAAGAGGGCTAGCTAAGCATTCTGCCAGAGAATTGCCTGTTACTATAATTGCCCTTTATAGATTTCCACATGGTTTAAAGACCTGCAGCAAGAAATGACCTGAGCATACTTAGTTCCCTTCGGAGCTTTTTGTTTTAAAAAAATGATACAAATGATCACCCAAAGTCCATAGTTTATATCAGGGTTCACTCTTGATGTACATTCTATGGGTTTGGACACATGTATGACATGTATCCGGTATTATGGTATCATACAAGGTAGCTTCACAGTCCTAAAAATCTTCGTGTTCCACTTATTCATACTTCCCTCCCTCCCCCAAGCCCCTGGCACCCGCTGATCTTTTCACAGTCTCCATAGTTTGGGTGATAATGATGTGTGTAGGCTCACCTATTGTGCCAAATGTATTATTCTGGTAGGGGAGGGGATTTATGGGATTCCTTTGTACCTTCCTCTCAATTTGACTGTGAAATTAAAACTGCCCCCAAATAGTCTTTTTAAAAATGACAAAATTGACTTTGACAGTTTAAGTGACAATGGCCAAGGTCACAGAGATGGCTCATAGCAGGCCAAGATTAAAACCCAGGGCCCTTGGTTGGGAGCCATGGCTCATGCCTGTAATCCCAGCACTTTGGGAGGCTAAAGCAGAGGGATTGCTTAAACCCAGGAATTTGAGACCAACGTGGGCAACATAGTGAGACCTCAGCTCTATAAAAATAAAAAATTTAGCCAAGCTTGGTGGTGTGCATCTGTAGTCCTAGCTACTCAGGAGGTTGAAAAGGAAGGATTCACCTGAAATCCGTAGTTTGAGACTGTAGTAAACTGTGATTGTGTCACGGCACTCCAGCCTGGGTGACAGAGTGACAAAACAAAACAACAACAAAAACCCTTTATTACAGAATTTATAAGCATTGAGGTTATGTATCAGTCCTCCAATTAGACTGAGTTCCATCATAGCAGGACTGAGTCTTAATCAACTTCGTATTTCCAGAAACAAACTCCATGATGGGTTACAGGGTATGCGCTCAAAAAAAATGTAGACAGAGCACAGAGCTAACATTTCCTTTTTCCAGTTTGAGACTATTATAAAACAAAAATAAAAATGACTTCTACATTGAAGCATTTGGTAGAATATATTTGATGTTGTAGATTTAAGAGTTCTGGCAAGATACAAACTACATATCACTTAAAATATAAGAAGTTTTTCCTTTAGAGAAATGAGTGTCAATGGCACTGTAATTTTTCATTGTTCTGAAATTGTTAGTAACCATTTAGGTTGACTGTAATAATAATAACAATAATGGCAATCGTTTGCTTTAAAGACAGCAAACAACACAAAATGTATAAAGTATATATATGATGAGCCGGGCTCAGTGGCTCAGCTGTAATCCCGCGCCTTTGGGAGGCCGAGGTGAGTGGATTGCCTGAGCCCATGGGTTCGGGACCCGCCTGGGCAACTTGGCGAGACCTCATCTCTACAATAAATCAAAAATCAGCCAGGTGTGGTAGTGCATGCCTGTAATTCCGGCTACTTGGAAGGCTGAGGCGGAAGGATCGCCGGAGCCCAGCAGGTCGAGGCTGCGGTGGCCGGGAGCGGCCACTGCACTCCAGTCTGGGCGACAGAGTGAGACTCCAACTCAAAAATAATAAAATAAAAATAAAGTATATGATGAACAGTTTGGTCCTAGCCCCTGGGTGCCCAGTTAGAGTCCTTTTGGAAGGTTGTAAGTCCGTGAATTATGAGGAGGTAGAAGACACAGATTAAATAATAGATCGATCTATTATTTAAATAGAAATCTATTTATAGGAAATCAATTATAATAAAGTCTGTTTTTAGATTTGCAGTCACAAAAGAAGAGGAAAAAAAATCAAGGTCAGGTAGATGGTTATTGGTCATAGTCCTTGCTGCCTTAGAACGAAGAATTACATTACGCTGTGCTAAAGCCAAAAAATTGAACAACAAACTCCTTTCAGATTTCAGGTAATCAGCTGTCTGGTTATCAGGATTTAAAAACATAAAATGAATTTCAACAAATTCAACTGTTTTAAATAGTTTATTATTAGAAGTAATACTAATTAATTAGTTCACTAATACACTATATATTAGTGTAGAGAAATGAGAAAGTTTTAGGTAAAAAAAAAAAACTTATCTTTTAAAAGCATCTTTTGACCCACTTTACAGATTCCTGTAAGTTTTATTTTCCCCAAACATGAACACAACATTTGATCTGGTCATTTATTTCATTTTATAAAGAACTGATAGAAACATAAATGAACACACACCTAAAAAGTGGTCAGGCTCCACAGGACTGCCCAAAATTGGGTAACCGTATAGATTTTCTGGTTATTTCAAGTATTCATGAAAATAATTACAGAGAAGACATACATTCATGATTTAGGCAAATTAAGGCATAATAATAACAGCCCATTTTTAAAAGTTAGTTATTTTTAAAATATTCATTTTTTAAAATTCATATAATGCCCAGACTCAACTTTTCAATAGAATCGTTGGCCTATTATTTCTTTATTCGCACAAAACAATGAGGAATGTAGATATTTTTTAAAAATATAAATACTTATCATGAAAATTGGGAACATTTGGCCCTCAAAAATATTGCTTAACAAATCAAATTCAGCTGAGTTGTAGGGAAACATAACTGTCCCAAAAGCTGGACCATTTTACTCTGCCTTTGGTTGCAAATTATACTTTTGTGGCTGGAAAAAATGTTCTTCAATCGCACTGACTAGTTCATTCAGTTCCTTCTTCAGCTGCTCAGGATCACTGGAAAATAAGGGGAAAAAATCCAAATCAAGGGATTATTCCAAAGCACACTGAAAATGTTCCCCCCATTCACCAACTGACATGGAAATTTAGCCTTAAGAGAAGGACTAAATCACAAAAACAGAACCGCAGTGACTTAAGCATGGGAACACATCTGTTGACGTAGACAAAATCCTCCCTGAGAAAATATGCATTATTTTCCCCAAAGGTTTCTCTAGAGTCTCAACTATAAACAAAACGATCCCTTGCTCTTCTCATAAGACTTTTTAAGAAATAATTTTTGGCCCACTATCCTTAAAAGATCTACTTAGGGATATTGTTATCCAATTGTGTACCTAATGTTGATACCTAACCCTGTAGAGAAAATTTTCACAATATCAGTTCCATTAGATTCTGCTCAACTTTTACAAACAATATTTCTGTTAAGTCTCCAGCCTCCCAAAATACCAATGTTCCTGATGAATTCTGACATTAAACCACTGGCAGCTATGCTAAAGTCTTGTCTATAAGGCCTTCATCGAAAGGACAGAGATAAGGTGGGTCTGAGCAAACACCAAGAAATCAGACCCCCAGGGTTTCATCATTCTGAATCTATTTCCAGAACAAAAGAGTCACAATGAAAGTATAAACAAGAATCTGGGAAGATAGATCCCTCTAAGAAGAACAGTTTTCAAGGATATGGGAAATACTCATTCACATGCAAATAAAATTTTAACATAGATAAAACTGACTTGCAGGTCAACAGGCTTCCAGAAGCTTCTGTCACCTAGAGTGTGTTACTCTAAGTTCTTAACATCAAGAAGCTTAATTTCAAAAACTATATCCTTCCTATTTTCCATTACTTCATACTCAACCATCTTTAATATATGCGAAGTTTACTTTAATGGAAATAGAAATCCCTATACTAAGTAAAGAGCATTTTTCCATTGCAATAGCTAAACAGTACATTTTATTATAGACACTAATTCTGGCTCTACTGCTTACTCGCTGTGTGCCCTTGGGCAAATGGCTTGGCCTCTCTAAGGCCCAGAGTCCTCATTTGTAAAATTGGGATAAAGACTTTATTTTCTCAAGAGAGTTATTGTACAGATGACGATAAATTATATAAAGCAATTAGCTCAGAACGCGGCCCAAAGACCTCAATAAATGTAGCTATCATTATAATTACTTTTATCCCTATTGGCAATATACAAAATAACTATGTTTCATAAATACATATGAATTACATCAGTCCTCTTCTCCATAACTGTGCTTTGAAGAAAGTAACAGTCCTCAGGAAGACATGTAAGCTAACAATGATATATTATATATGTGTGTGTGTGTGTGTATGTATAATCAAAACTAAAACTCAGTGAATTTACTAATTACTGACTTTATTATTCAAGTTTGGTTTTAATCATGATATATATGTACATTATGATTCACTTATTTATGGCTATCATGTTTCTGACATTGCATTTCATGTGTGAAAAAAAGTTAGTACTACTGTATAAGATTTAGTGGTACAATAATTTCTAATACCAAAGTCTAGTCTTACTATTCTGTATCCTAATTAATAACTGTTTCAATGTCTTAAAGTTTGCAAATATTTTGCAACATTTTAAAAAATTAGGAAGGGCAGGGTGGCTCATACCTGTAATCCCAGTACTTTAAGAGGCAGAGACAAGAGGATTGCCCATGGGTTTGAGACCAGTCTGGGCAACATGGCCAGACTTTGTCTCTACAATAAATCAAAAAATTAGCTAGGCGTGCTGGCACATGCCTGTAGTCCAGCTACTTGAGAGGCTGAAGCAGAAGAATCACCTGAACCTAGCAGGTCTAGGCTGCGGTGGCCATGAATGTGCCACTGCACTCTAGTTTGGGTGACAGTGAGGCTCCAACTAAAAAAAAAGAAATTACAGAACACATTCTATGATCATTTAAACTAGGGCTAGGAATCTCTGTTACCAAAAAGTCTAAGTTTTGGTGGATCTTTTTATAAAAATACTTAGCAAGTATCACATATAATTAAGCACTTGCTTTTAATCATCATGAAAAACCATTTTATTTTTATTTTATTTATTTTTGAGTGGGGGTCTTACACTGTCACCCAGACTGGAGTCCAGTGGCAGGATCATGGCTCACCTCAGCCTCAACCTCCTGGGCTCAGGCAATCCTTCCATCTCAGCCTCCTGAGACTACAGGCATGTGTCACCATGCCCAGACAATTTTTTTTTTTTTTTTTTGTAGACACAAGTTCTCACTAGGCTGGTCTCGAACTCCTGGGCTCAAGCAATACTCCCACCTTGGCCTTCCAAAGTGCTAAGATTATGGGCATGAGCCACTGCACCCATCGAAAAATCATTTAAGCTAAATGACAACTCAATACAATGCAGGATTCTTGATTTGATTCTGGATTGGAAAAAAACAGCTATCCAGGGGACTTCCAGGAAAGTTTGAATTCATGTGTTAATTTTGGCAGGGCTGTATCTCCAGTTATCCAAACACTAATCTTGGTGTTGCTATGAAGGTATTTTGTGATTAACAACCATAATCAGTTGACTTTAGCAAAAGCAGTTATCATAAACAATCTGGATGGCGTGGGTTCTATCAGAAGGGCATTAGGAGCAGAATCGAGGTTTTCCCAAAGAATTCCACCCATCGACTGCAACTTCAACCCACGCCCGAGAATCCCAGGCTGCCCACCTGGAAAGGCTGCCCATCTGGAAAGACTGCCCACCTGGAAAGCCTACGCTATGGATTTCAGACTGGCCAAGCCAGTCCAGTCCTCACAATCATTCACACAAGCCAATTCCTTGCAATAAATCTCTCTGAATACATACATTTTACGGGTTCTATTGGGCTGTAGAAACCTGCCTGGTACAATTATTATTTAATAGTCTGTTTCTAAGAGATGCATATTGAAATGTTCGGAGTGAAGCATCACAAGGTCTCATGATGTGCCATGAAGAATCACATGGTCTCGCAAATGGTTCAGAAAAAACTCGAATACATAATCTATACAGTGAGAGAGCAACTCTTGCAAAACATTAGCAATTGCTGAGAGTGGGTCTGGGTCAACAAACTATGGCTTGTGTAAATAAAGCTTTATTGGAACACAGCCACATCCATTCTTTTCACAACAGCAGAAGTGACAGAAACCACATGGCCTGCAAACCCTAAGATTCTTATTATCTGGCTCTTTACAGAAAAAGCTTGCCAACTCCTGGTCTAAGTGAAGGGTATGTGGGTATTCACTACATTATTATTTCAACATTTCTGTAGGTTTGAAATTTTTCAAAATAAAAACTTACATCCCCCCCAACAAAAATACTTTGCAAAAGCAACACATACTTCAAAAAGAATTTCTATTTTAAATGATTAGTAGGTCATGGAATTCTGTGAATAAATAAAATCCACAATATAAAATATATTAATAATTTTTAACTTGATCAGAAAAGAAGCAAACCTTAGTCATAACCTTATTGCTGTTCTACATTAGTCATGCTGGTGCCTTGCTTAAGCTTTGACTGCATACCTATTAGTGCCTAATGTCCCATTTAATAAATGGGAGAAACATTGAAATGAATGCAATAAAAAGACAATTTTTCAAAGTTTTTTCAGCAATATTTGAATTTAAGTCCACTCAATAAACCATGTGAAAAATTTAAATACCATAGAGGCTTAAGCATTCAATAGCATTTTATTTGTTTGCTTGTTTGTTTTTTGAGTTGGAGTCTCACTCCATCGCCCAGGCTGGAGTGCAGTGGCATATGCACGGCCACCCCAGTGTTGACCTGCTGGGCTCCAGTGCTCCTTCCACTTCAGCCTTCCAAGTAACCAGAGCTACAGGCATGCACTACCACACCGGGCTAATTTTTTTCATTTTTTTTAAATTGTAGAGACGAGGTCTCGCCAGGTTCCCCGGGCTGGTCTCGAACCCCTAGGCTCAGGCAATCCTCTCACCTCGGCCCCCCAAAGTGCTGGGATTACAGGCTTGAGCCACCACACCCGACCAAATAGCATTGCTATTATTGAGGAAATTTTCTGAAATATTGGAAACATTTTCACAGGGTAATGAAAAGGACAAAAAAAACAGAGAAAACAGATCGTTAAGTTAAACTGCTATTCATTTGTTGGTAATCCAGAATTCTTAAGAAATGAGCTGTTTTCTATGATCACTTAATAGTTGAGTTTTTGTCCTTTAAGCACAAAAAGGTTTTGAATGGGACCCATAGCAAAACATGTTACACAGTCCCCTGACTTCTTAGCCACATTTGTGTTGAGCATTTTGACATTTCAGAGGCCTATAATCATGACTTTGCCTGTTGGATTGATGGTGTCATTCAGAAAAAAAGATTCAGGGCACATTTGGGTACGCAATGCTATTTCTTTTTTTTTTTTTTTTGAGTTGGAGTCTCACTCTGTCGCCCAGACTGGAGTGCAGTGGCCGCTCCCTGTCACCGCAGCCTCGACCTGCTGGGCTCCAGCGATCCTTCCACCTCAGCCTTCCAAGTAGCCAGAATTACAGGCATGCGCTACCACGCCCGGCTGATTTTTTGATTTATTGTAGAGATGAGGTCTCACCAGGTTGCCCAGGCGGGTCTCGAACATGCGGGGTCAGGCAATCCACTCACCTCAGCCTCCCAAAGGCGCGGGATTACAGGCTGAGCCACCAAGCTCGGCTGCAATGCTATTTCTCTTATGATAAACTCCTGGAGTGGCGAACTTTAAAGCTCTCGTGTCCATGTTGTACAGTTTCTGTTTTGTTTTGTTTTTAAGAGACAGAGTCTCTCTCTGTCACCTGGGCTGGAGAGCAGCGGCAGTGTCCAACCAGTGGGCTCAAGTGATCCTCCCGCCTCAGCCTCCTTAACAGCTGGGATTAAAGGCATGAGCCACCACACCTGGCTAGTTTTAATATTTCCTTCCTTTCTGCCAGCAGTCACTTCTTTTCCCAAGAAAAGTTCCTGCTATAATAATTCTTTCTTATCCCTCTAATTTGCTACATTTAATCTGCTCAGACATTTTCCTCTGCTTTTATTTTCACATAATGCAAATTTGATTCATAAAGCTGGAAAAAATTTTTCCATAAGCAAAGTCTGGTTTGTCTATGCTGTGGCAGTTACCTAGACTGGTGTTGTCTGCTACAGCACTCATAAGTCACACGTGGCTACCAAGCTCATGACATGTGACCAGTGCCACTGACAAACAGAATTTTTAATTGTATTCAATTTTAGTTCATTGGAATTCAAATTTAAAAACTGACACTAAGTAGAAAGATTCAGTTATTGGAAAAATTAAGTATGTTTGAAACAACTTGGGCATCAAAATCCAATTTTTCTCCTCTAAATTTTATGAACTCTTAGTACAGATCGAGTATTTCCAATAAAAAAAATGTAGCATTCAAATTGAGATATGATGTAAGTGTAAAATACTGAATGGATTTTGAAGACTTAGACAAAATCTTTCTTTTCTTTAAAAAAAAGAATGCAAATAATCTCAGTGATAATTTTTTTAACATGGATGGCATGATGTAATGATAATATTTCTTCTTTTTTTAACTTTAAAATTTTGTTTGGATGTAAAGTATTTTGCCTATACTAGGTTAAAGAAAATACATTATAGAAATTAATTTCTCCTGTTTCTTTTCCCTATTTTAAAATGTAACAAGTAGAAAGACTAAAATCTCATCTGTGGCTTGAATTTTATTTCTATCATATAGCATGAACCTAATTCACCTTTAAAAATTTTTTTTCCTGGAACGGGGAAGGCAGAGTAAAATAAAAATTATTTTTCCTGATTTTCAACCATATTCTGAATAAAGAAATTCTGGTTAACTGTGCGCCAGATAGTGTCAGATCAATGTCACCACTTATACCTACTAAGTACATGCACCAAGGTTGTTAAAGTTCTAAATGTTAAGTTGTTGGAGAGTGAACAACTCAAACTCTTTACTGAGGTCACAGAAATATGACCCCGAAGCTAACAGCCGATCAGCTCTTTGGCAGAAGAATTCTTCTTCTGAGGCTCTCTGTTCTCCTTGGGACCTGGCACAGACCTGTGGACAACGTGCTCAGAGATATTTGGTTTTTGTTTTGCTTTTTTGAGTTGGGGGTCTCACTCTGCTGCCCATGCTGGAGTGCAGTGGCACAAACAAGCTCACTGTAGTCACCAACTCCTAAGGCTCATACCTCAGTCTACTGAGGAGCTGGCATTATAGGCATGTACCCCCAATGCCCAGCTAATTTTTTAAAATTTTATTTTCTGTGGATACGAAGTCTCATTATGTTACCTAGGCTGGTCTCAAACTCCTGGGCTCTGCAATCCTCCTGCCTCAGCCTCCCACAGCACTGGGATTACACTGCATCCCATCTCAAAGATATTTGTTAAGTGCATGTGGAATGAATTTTAATTTATTTTATCAGAGACATGGCAAGACTGTATGTTGATCAAAAGTGAAACACAAGCATTAACCACCCATGAAAAGCATTTGGAAAAAGAAAATTTTATCATTACTAATTCAATAACAAATGAAAATTTCCCATACAAAAAAATTTCAAACAGAAGTAGTTGAGTAAGAAGTAAGCACTCCTACCCTGGATGCCCGCAGCAGCTGTTAATATCATGGTATCACTGCAGGTTCTGAAACAGCATTTTTAATTAAACCACATATTGGAAAGATGAAACATGTTACTTGGCATTTGAAAAGAATCAGATAGGAAGTTTGGAGACAAAACTCATCCCAGTGGTCCTCCACATGTACCTGTTTCCGGGAGGGGCACACAGTTCTGCATAGTACTTGATTTTGGGCTCGGTCCCACTGGTCCGCATGGTGGCCACTCCTCCATTGGCAAAGGTGAACGTTATCATTTGGCTGCTTTTACTCGTGGGAAGAACCTAGGTATTAATTCATGAATGTTATACATTTAAATAATAACATAGACTACCCTGGCCTAACTAATATTTCCCCCTGTATAAGTACAAAAAAAGAAAGTGTGAAACAAATCTATCATTTAGAAAAGAAGAATGTTTTGGAACAAATCAGAAAATGTACTCCATAGAAATAAAATACTAAATGATAATAATTTATGAAAATATGGTATGTACACACAATGGAATACTACTCAGTCTGAAAAAAGAAGCAAATCTTGTCATTTGTGACAACATGGATGAGGCTGGAGGACATTACGTTGAGTGAAATAAGCCATGCACAGAAAGATAAACACTGCATGATCTCACATGTGGAATCTAAAAAAGTTGACCACCAGGTGCGGTGGCTCACGCCTGTAATCCCAGCACTTTGGGAGGTGGAGGTGAGAGGACTGCCCGAGTTTAGGGATTCAAGACCAACCTGGGCAATTTGGCAAGACCTCATCTCTACAATACACCAAAAAACTAGCTGGGCGTGGTCCAGCTACTTGGAAGGCTGAGACGGAAGGATCGCCTGAGTCCCTGAGTCCAGCAGGTCGAGGCTGTGGTGGCTGTGAGTGTGCCACTGCACTCCAGCCTGGGTGACAGAGTAAGACTCTGACTCTATAAACAAACAAACTGATTAATACATAAGTTGACCTCATAGAAGCAGAGAGTAGACTGGTGGTTGGAGAAAAGGAGTAAAGCAGGGAGATTGGAAAAATGGTGGTCAGCAAGAATAATTCAAGAGACCTACTGCACATCATGGTGACTGCAGCTAGTAACAACGTGCAGTATACTTGAAAACTGCTACAAGACTAGATTTGAAGTGTTTTCACTACAAATAAAAGGGAAGTATGTGAGGAAATGCATATGTTCATTAGCTTGATGTAGCCATCACAATGTATATGTATCTCTCAAAACATTATCTCATACACCATAAATATATACAATTTTTGTCATGTAATATAGATATACTAGTTAGTTAAAAAAAGAAAAACAATGCTGCCCAGGCCAGTCTCAAACTCCCACATATTCCTTAGCCTCAGAAATGATTTCCAAATTGCTCTTAACAAAATGGAATTGGCAGTCCCATCCATGGATGTGTAAGAAGTAAACTTTTTTCTTTGCCAGGTAACACTCCTGTTTGGCATAGTGCCAGGATCTAGGGAATTACTACAGAACAACAACAAACATTAAAATGAACAGAAGAAGTTATAGAAAAGTAAATAGCTCTTAAAAATGTCCAATGCTAGCCAGGCTCGGTGGCTCAGCCTGTAATCCCGTGCCTTTGGGAGGCTGAAGTGAGTGGATTGCCTGAGCCCACGGGTTCAAGACCCGCCTGGGCAGGCGAGACCTCATCCCTACAATAAAATCAAAAAATTAGCCGTGGTAGCGCGCGCCTATAATTCTGGCTACTCGGAAGGCTGAGGTGGAAGGACTGCCGGAGCCCAGCAGGTCGAGGTTGTGGTGGCTGGGAGCGGCCACTGCACTCCAGTCTGGGCGACAGAATGAGACTCCAACTCAAAAAAAAAAAAAAAAATGTCCGGTGCTTTGACTGCTAGAATCTTAGGCTATTATCCATTTTTGTGAGAAATGAAAAAAAGAAAATTAAATGACTTCATGTATTAATTTTTACCTCCCCAGTCCTATTAGAGGTATTAAGATTTTATTAAAATTAAAACAAATCATTTTACAAGTAATTTAAATAGATTAATAACATACCACAAAAAAAAAAAAAAAAAGAACCCCAAACTGGGTCATATTTCACTATTACAAAGTGACAACTTTGCCAAAAAATAGTCCATAAGGAGGTTTAAAAAAAAAAAAGATAAAGCTTCTGGCAGGTGTATTTGTCATTTTATAGCTCCCCAAACTCCATTAAGATTACAGAATTAATTTTATTTATTGATTGATTTTTATTTTTATTTTTTTTTGAGTCACTCTGTCACCCTGGCTGGAGTGCAGTGGCACACTCATGACCACCACAGCCTCAGGCTTCTGAGCTCAGGTGATCCTTTCTCCTCAGCCTCCCAAATAGCACACATCTGGCTAGGCTGCCCAGGCTGGTCTCGAACCTCTGAGCTCAGGCAATCCTCTCACCTCTGCCTCCCAAAATGCTGGGATTACAGGTGTGAGCCCCTGTGCCCAGCCTAAAATTACATAAGTATTTTTTTAAAGAAGCACAAAGAGAGCCATCGATGGGGCTGCCATCCAATCTACAAGTCAGCAAGCAGATGGAGGAACAGTCTATGGCCACCCTGAATGTGTCCACCTCGTACGATCTCAAAGCCAAGCAGGGCGGGTCTGGCTCGTACTTAGACGGGAGAAGGCAGATGGAAGAGTGGAACGGGTCTGATGGGCCACAAGACTACAAATCTGAGCACCCACAGAAGAACCAGACGAGGAGCCAGGCCATGTGCTCTGTGGAATCCTGGCCAGGCTCAAGCACGGGAGGTACCAGGTGCCACAAAGGGCGGGCGGCAAGCAGGGCTAGAAAACAGGAGCAGTGTTTGCAGGAAGTGACAGGCCCTTCCAGATGCTCGCTCCCAACCCAGGTAGTCAGAGAACCACATCTTCTTTATTACTCCAGGAGATGGTCTAATTTTCTGGAGAGTGAGCAGGAAGGCTGAGGAGTTAGGGACCCCTGGAAACACGGAGGGCAGGATTTGGTGAAAAGAGAGGGGCCGAGTGAAAGTCCTCAGGCTGGGACACCCCTAGCTCCTCCCCCAGCCATGCTTAGGGCCTTGGGTAAATGACTAAAGTTTGTATTTTAATATATATACAATATATGATAAGCAATAAGCAAAGTTTATTAAAGTCCACCTTATAGCCCTTGAGTAAATGATTAAAGTTAATCTCTCTGGAGAAGTCAAACAGTCCCCAACAGGGGCCTCCATTAAAAAGTGGACTTGCTACCCAGGGTCTCAGGAATGAAGTATGTCATTTGATCTGTAAATGTACATAGGGCTTCCAGTCAGCTCTTAAGTGCTCAGAGGATAATTAAAGATCACTAGACGTCTCGGGAAAGACATTGGGTAAAAGACAAAGTTCAACACAAATAGAAAAAAAAAGAATCTGCAGGAAATAAAGGGAATCTGGGAGAAAAAGAAGACCTGTATTTTGGTTTTTTTTTTGAGTTGGAGTCTCACTCTGTTGCCCAGACTGGAGCACAGTGGCCGCTCCCAGCCACCGCAGCCTCAACCTGCTGGGCTCTGGCGATCCTTCTGCCTCAGCCTTCCAAGTAGCCGGAATTACAGGCAAGCGCTACCATGCCTGGCTGATTTATTTTATTTTATTTTTTTAAATTTATTGTAGAGATGAGGTCTCGCCTGCCCGGGTGGGTCTCGAACCCACGGGCTCAGGCAATCCATTCACCTCAGCCTGACCTACATTTTTTAAAGCTATAATCAATATCCTTATTACATGACAAAGAATAGGGTGCTATTTTTAATAAGTTAGAGAGTAAGAAGAGAAACAGTCAACAGAGGCACAGAAAGTTAAAGGTGAGGAATCACCTGAAAAAAGGACCTAAAGGATAGAGACAGTCAACAGGAAAAGAAAGAGGTGAGAGAAGTAGAGCATCTCACTAAGGACTCTTCAAGAAAGAGCAGCCGGGCACAGTGGCTGACATCTGTAGTTTTGGAAGATCGAAGCAGGAGGATCACTTGAGCTCAGTTGCTTGTGATTAGTCTGGGAGACATAGTGAGACCCCGCCTTTACACAAAAGTTTTAAAAAGTTAGCCAGGCATAGTGGCATGCACCTGTAGTCCTAAGCTACTTGGGAGGCTGAGGCAAGAGGATCGCTTGAGCACAGGAATTTGAGGCCACAGTGAGCCATGATCATGCCATGCATGAGTAAGACTGTCTCAAAACAAAAACAAACCAACCCACCAAGAAATGCAAGGGAAGAGGCAATTTAAAAAATCAGCTATCCCCCTTTCCTGACATATAACCAAGAGACCCTCTCAAAACTAAAATAGAATAAATGATTTTACAGACCACAGATCCTGAGTAAAAAGAGACTCACACTAAAGCACATCACTGTTAAATTTTAGAACCTGAGGTTTAGAAAAAATCCTAGATTCTCCTAGAGAGGAAAAAACCAACTTGCATGGAAAGGACTGAATAAGTATGGGACCAACATCCCTGTGTGCAGTATACAGTAGGCCTCAACTATTTGCTGAATGAATGAATGATTGGAGACTCAACAGCAATACTGGCAGCCAAACAATAGTGGAGCAATGCTTTCAACATTGTGAGTCGATGAACTGTGATGGCAGAATAAGATATTTTCAGGCCAGGTGTGGTGGCTCACACCTGTAATCCCAGCACTTTGGGAGGCTGATGTGAGAGGACTGCTTAAGCCCAGGGGTTCCAGACCAGCCTGGGCAACAAAGCAAGACCTCGTCTCTATAATAAACTAAACAAATTAGCTGGGCGTGGTAGTGCCAGCTACCCGGGAGGTTGAGGCAGAAGGACTGCCTGAGTCCAGGAGGTTCAGGCCACAGTGATCTGTGACTAGCTAGGCTACTGCACTCCAGCCTGGGTGACAGAGTGAGACACTGACACAAAAAAACAACAACAAAAAAGACATTTTCAGACCTAACGCCTCTAAAAATTTATCTCCCTTTTCTCAGAAAGCAACTAGGGTATGATCTAGAAAAATCTATGTAGAAAGAGGAAGCAACAGAGTCTAGGAGCAAGACTTAGCCCTGGAGATGGACATTCCAGGAGGGCAACTGTGCACCCAAACCAGAAAGCACCTGGCCCAGTCCGGACAAAGGGACCTGCAGGGAGGCCATCGGAAATGTACCGGGGAAACCTTACTGGGAGGTTTCTGAAGGATTTGGGAAGACCAGTGATAGTTACACAGAAACCCAGGCATGTGGTGGCTCAAGCCTGTAATCCCAGCACTTTGGGAGGCTGAGGCAAGAGGACTGCCTGAGTTCAGGGGTTTGAGAAGCCTGGGCAACTTGGCAAGACCTTGTCTCTACAATAAATAAAAAAATTAGTTGGGTGTGACAGTGCATGCCTGTAGTTCCAGCTACTTGGTAGGCTGAGGCGGAAGGATCGCCTAAGCCCAGTAAGTTGAGGCTGCAGTGGCTGTGAGCATGACACTGAACTCCACCCTGGGTGAGTGAGTGAGACTCTGACTAAAAAAATTTTTTAAAAATTAAAAAAATTAAAAACCCAGGCAAACCAAAGGACATAGCAACTGCTAATGACAGGACATTTCATTATTTATACAAATTAAGGAAACCTAATCAAAACACACTACTTAGCTAGGCTGGCAACAGTTACTAGTCATAAAAAGAGCAAGATGCTGTGGCTCATGCCTGTAATTTCAGTACTTTGGGAGGCCAAAGCAGGAGGATTTCTTGAGCCCAGGGGTTCGAGACCAGCCTGGGCAACATAGTGAAACCTCATCCCTACAAAAACAAACAAAAATCTTAAAAATTAGCCAGGCATGGTGGCACATGCTTGTGGTCCCAGCAACTTGGGAAGCTGAGGTGGAAGAACCGCTTGAGTCCAGGAGGCCAAGGCTGCAGTGAGCCATGGTCGTACCGCTGTACTCAGCCTAGGCAACAGATGAGACCCTGACTCAAAATAATAATAATAGTAATAGAAGCATGGAACCTGATTTAGTCAAAAGTTGTGGTATAAATGTAAGGACGAGGAGAAGGGGGAGTATTGAATGTAAAAGTAAGAACTAAATCTTTTTCTCCATAATAGAAAATTAATACATTGTAACATTTATAAGTCAAAACATCACCTTATAAGCACATTATTTAAAGATCTGGCAGTAAATGCCAGATGGAGAAACAATGGAAAGAAGGTGGCTGTCTTGGTGGCATGGCACTGGGGTGGCAGGGGTGGGATGGCCATGTGTTATCACAACCTTTTAAATACTAGTTATCTCTTAAAAATACATACCGTGCAGATGAAAACAAAAAATATGGAAAGTAAATAGCAAAGACCACGTCTGACATCCCATGAAGATGTTACCCCTTACGCCAGCCCCTGCTATGGCCAGTGACACTCTTCTGCCACCTGTTGGTCTCCTTGACTCCAGTGGGGGGTCTGCACCGTGTAAAGAATGCGAATTCGTGTCACAGCAAGCAGCTCTCGTGGGTCAGAGACTTGGGTAAAAGTAACCTAAGCAAACAGGTTTTTAAGGTGAAGACCAGTGGCGGCAGCATCACCTAGGAATGGGTCAGAAATGCAAATTCGTGGCACCCACCCCAGACCTACTCAATCAAAAGCTCCAGGGATGGGCTCCAGCACTCTGTTCTGACCAGCCGTCCAGGTAATGGATGCCCCTTCAGGTGTGAGAACTGTTGATAAGGAAAAGCTGGATCCTGGGTCAGGAGACTCAGGCTCTACCTGGAGCCTACCCAGGGTACCACCAACTAGCTCGGTGCCCACAGATAGGTTCTGTGCTTCTAAGTGTTAATCTCCTTAGATGCTGTGTTGGCTTAGATGACTAGGAAGAACTCTTTAACCTTTAGCCCATGATTTTAAATATATCATACATACATATGTGTGTGTGTGTGTGTGTATATTTAAAGCATCAGTTACACAGATGTTTATATATATATATATATATATATATATAATTTAATTATATTCACCATGTCTGTATAACTGATGCTTTAAAATTTAATTTTTTTTCTTAGAGACAGGGTCTTGCTTTGGCACCCTGGTTGTAGTGCTGTGGCATGATCATCATTCACTGCAGTCCTGAACTCCTAGGCTCAATCAATCCTCCCTTGTCAGCATTCCCAGTAGCTGGGACTGCAGGCATGCACCACCACACTTGGCTAATTAAAAATATTTTTTTGCAGAGATGAGTGAGGGAGGGGAGTTTTGCCTATGATGCTTGGGCTGGTCTCAAACTCCTGGCTTGAACTCAAGTGATCCTCCCACCTTGGCATCCTCTCCCAAAGTGCTGAGATTACAAGTGTGAGCCACAGCACCTGGCCAACTTTTCATATGATTAATTTTATAGCTTATTTATAACCATGCCTCAATGCCTAAAGTCAGCTTTAATTAATTATATGGTTAAATAAGTTGATTTATTCAAATTATTTGGAAAGGTAAACAGAAAAGAGTTGAGGTGTTAAAAGTAAGTGCTACTTACAGCCTTTTTATCAGGTTGGCTGTCATCATAGCCAGTGGTGAGGTCCCTAATGGCAGATATTTCAAATCTGCCACACATTTTTGGATAGTGATTTTTTCTGTCGTAGTTTCGGAGGTTTTCAAATAATGTTTCAATGATAGTTTGATCATGGCAGATAAAATAGGAAGCTTTGGTAAGATGATAGCCATACCTAGCGAACAAACACAAATTCACGCAACATAAGGAATAAGTAAATGCAGAGTGGACACACGTCATGTGTCAATGAGTGTATTCTAAAATAAATAAAATGAATAACCATGGCTAACTTCATGAGAATAATGTTAAAAGAGCATTAAAAAAGAGGTCAACAATCTACCCCAGGGATTGCTGAAGGATGATCTGGCTTCCCCTGTGCATCTGTACGTTAAATTTTTTTTTGGAACATGGCAGCACTGCACCCATGGCTTTCTGGATCATCCCTGTGTGCTTTTGTACTACACAGGCAGAGTTAAGTCATTGCTGTAAAGATTAAACAGATGCATTATAAATGTATCTGAATCTTTTTTGACACTGGACACCAAACATCACATTTCTCCATGAGTCATTTCTGTGACTAGTGTTCTCACTTAAGAATTAATGCAATTATGGCCAGGTGTGGTGGTTCACACCTGTAATCCTAGCAATTTGGTAGGCTAAAGCAGGAGGATTGCTTGAGCCCAGGAGTTCAAGACCAACCTGGGCAACATAGCGAGACCTCATCACTACAAAACAAAACAAAAACTAGCCGGATGTGATGGCACACACCTATAGTCTCAGCTACTCGGGATGCTGAGGCAGAAGGTTTGCCTGAGCCCAGGAGACTGAGGCTGCAGTGAGCCATGATTTTGCCAATGCATTCCAGCCTGGGTGCCAGATTGAGAACCATCTCAAAAAATAGAAAAAGAAAAGAAAAGAATTAGTGCAATTGTGAATGGCAATTACTAACCTCATTTAGTTTTCTTAAGCAATAGAATTAATCAACAACACAAGAGCTTAGAAAGAATTTTAGTATCTCATGCACAAGAACATCATAGGACATTTGAAAATATTACTTCCGGGCAACCCCCTGGGTCCCCTTCCACTGTGGGAGACTTTCTGTCCTCTCAATAAATCCTGCTTTAAAAAAAAAAGAAAAGAAAACATTACTTCCATCAGACGGAATCAACAGCAACTTACTCCATGTAGATGGCCTGCAGCTGCTGAGACATAGAAAGATTCTTGGTAGCTAGAAAGCTGGCCAGCTCTGCGCTTATGACAGCGGCACTGACTCCATCTTTGTCTAGGACAAAAGGGCAGCACATATATCCTGCAGAAACACATGTCACATATACACCCTTAGGAGCCTATATATCACATGTCAAACTACATGTGCATATGCACCTTGGCTATTGCACATGAAACGCTGTACAGTGTCGAGTATGTGCATGTTTCTCACTTACTACCATATGTTTAAGAATTGAATGCTGGCAGTGGGTCATGCCTGTAATCTCAGCACTTTGGGAGGCTGAGGTGAGAGGATCGCTTGAGCCCAGGAGTTGGAGACCAGCCTGGGCAACAGAGCAAGACCTCGATCCTTAAAAAAAATAATTATCCAGGTGTGGTGGGGCACACTAGTCCCAGCTATTCAGGAGACTAAAGTGAAAGGATGGCCTGAGCCCAGGAATTCGAGGCTAAGGTGAGCCATTATCATGCCACTACGCTGTAGCCTGGGTGACAGAGTGAGACCCCAACTCAAAAATAATAATAATAATAAATGGGCCCAGTATCTATTCAGGAAGTACTTGGTGAAGAACCTGAGAGGAGGTTCTCCAGAGATTCCCAGTTAGTCCCTCCAGCTCACACAAAATTGATTCCAATTGTTCTGGTTAATATGTCACTCTTCTCTGAATTCCAGTAGCTCTTGTTAGTTACCTTACTCATTTTGGCAGTGGTCTGTACTCCTTTTTTTTTGAGTTGGAGTCTCACTCTGTCGCCCAGACTGGAGTGCAGTGGCCGCTCCCGGCCACTGCAGCCTCGACCTGCTGGGCTCCGGCGATCCTTCCGCCTCAGCCTTCCAAGTAGCCAGAATTACAGGCACACGCTACCATGTCCAGCTGATTTTTTGATTTATTGTAGAGATGAGGTCTCGCTGCCTAGGTGGGTCTCGAACCCGCGGGCTCAGGCAATCCACTCACCTCAGCCTCAGCCTCCCAAAGCGCGGGATTACAGGCTGAGCCACCGAGCCTGGCTGGTCTATACTCTTAACTAGGTCTACATAGGCTGCTTTAGGCCAGGGTCAGTGTCATCCATTTTTTTCAGAGTCACAGAGTAATAGATATACAATTAATATTAGATAAATGAATGTAGGAAACACTTTTATTTTTTTCTTAACAAAAAGTTATAGAGAGACAAGCCTGCCGACTCTGACAACAAAATTGCTGAGCGATGATGCTGAATTCAGTCAGCTCCATCGTGTTCGTGTGTCGGTGCTATAGGGAACAGACACATGAATAAACACATTTAATGCGCAATGGTTTTTGCTAAATTAATAGCTACGAAATTTGGGGCACAAAACGTGCATTTTAAATTTCTCTAGGCAGCTCTCCTTTCTGCTCATTTATATCAATACACAGTCTAGAACCGAGTGTTTCAATCATTACAGGTGGACCTGGGTTGTTCTTGAGGGTGACTGTCACTCTGATACGAGCATCAAACCATGCCTTCCTCTTTCCTCTGGACAGACCCAGCATGGATCCTCACTAGTGTTCCTGGAAGGGTATGGAATATATCTGGCCTGGATCTTAAACGCCACCATTGAAAAAAAAAAAAAAACACAACTCCCAAAACATATGGCTTCTCAATCACCAGCAGTCAAGCACAGAATATCACTGTTTTTAGTCATCTGGGCAAAGGATTTTTATGTTAATGGCTTGGTTTCTCTTTGATTTCTCTTTGTGGAAAAATATCTGAGGTGCCAGTTTTCGAGTGGGACAGTTCAATGCTCAACTCGAATGCTGGAAAAGCAAAGACAACCGTGGGCTTCTGTTTTGCTGTGATGTTTTGAATCCAACTCAAACCATCCCCCCCCCTTTTTTTATAACAGATTCTATGATCCTCATGATGGCTTCTTACCAATAGCTTCCTCAAATGCAAACAAGACAGTTTTCCCTTGGTCCAGCAGCTGCTTGGCTCTGTTACCCATCCACTTAAAGCCGGTTAATGTTTCCTAAAGGAATGAAACAAAAGAGAAAGAAATGCCTTAGATCTTTGGAGCAAAAAAAAGAAAAGGAAAAAAAAAAAAAAGAGCAAGTCCCGTAAACACTTACCTCGAAATGGAAACCCTCCTTTAAGGCGATGGCGCGCAGGATTTTGGAGGAGACGGTGCTAGACAACATGTAGGTGTCTTTGAGGGCACTGCGGTCCCTGTTCTTTTCTTTCCAAGAAGTGAAAAGCCACCAGCCCAGGAGTGCCCCCAACTCATTGCCTGAAAACACTCTCCATTCACCACTGGAATTAAAAAACAAGACAACTTCATTTCTGTGTGATCTTACAGAACACACCAGAAGCCATTGGGTTAGGGCAGCTAAGCAAGCAAGGCTCAACTGGTCAGAAATGTAACAAACACTTGAGCAGCTATAATGTATCAGTTGGTTTGCCCAGACAAGCATCCTGTCTTTGAAGATGGTATAAAATATGCCTGCAGTGACACATTAAGCTTTTATTTTAATCTAGGGCAAAGGCTTCGGTTTGAAAATAACAGAAATGCACTGGCAAGATCTCTCCATGTACAAAAAAAAAGTTTTGATATCTCAGTGTTTGGACTTGGTCAGTATTGCTAAATCTGAGAGGTGATATCTTAGCATTTCTTAGGATCAAACTCGATCCTAAAATGGTCAGCACATCAGAGAATGGATGTGTGATTTCCGTTCCTCCCTGTAATGGGTGGCTAGAAGTCAATCTCACATATCAGTCTATTTCACATTAGCTTAACTTTTGAAACACTGATATAGACTTGGACCTGTTTTATCATAATCTAAAACCCCATCCTCTCAGCAGCACTCCACTACCCCCTAGACATCACCTATGCTGTTTGACACTCAAGATTGATTGCTTGGACTCGGCCTCTCAAATCCTCCCACCCTTCACCACCATGTACCTACTTTTCCTTTGTACAAACTCTATGGTCAAACTTATCTGACACTCTGTGCTGGCTGGGTACGGTGGCTTACACCTGTAATCCTAGCACTTTGGGAGGACGAGGTGGGAGGACTGATTGAGACCAGGAGTTCAAGACCAGCCTAAGCAACATAGCGAGACCTTGTTTCTACAAAAATTTTTAAAAATAATCCAGGTGTGGTGCATGTGCCTGTAGTCCCAGATACTTGGGAGGGAGGCTGAGGCAGGAGGCTCTCCTGAGTCAAGGAGATTGAGGCTAAGCCATGACTGTGCCACTGCACTCCAGCCTGAGCAACAGAGAGAGACCATGACACACACACACACACACACACACACACACACACACTCTTAATTAAAAACAAACAAAAAATCCCCCCAAAATAAAAAAAAATGCTGTGCCAATATCCCACAGGTTCTCCTCTGGTCTGTCCAAACTAAATTCAACGTTTTTTTGACGGTCCCCACCTTGGCAAACACTGAACCACAAAGCCAGCACCAAAGTATTTTGCACTTAGGCACTGAGACATTACTTATAATAAAAATCAATTCTAAAAGAAGGGAAGATCACCAAGAGTCACTTCATGCCATTGCTTTTGTTCAGTTCTGGCCAGGCCACGTGTTCATTGAGCTATGGCAGCCATGCTTTTGTTATTAAGCTCCGGCCCAGCCACGTGGCTCTTTGAGTTCAGGTCCGGTCGTGTTTCCTTAAGCTTTGGACCCCTCCCTTATCTTGGGGAAGTGAATCTTCTCTCTCTCTCTAATCTACTTTCTAAATAAACTGTATTTTCCAATCTAAAACAAAACAAAACAAAACAAAAACAAATAGTAGCTTCAATTCCAAATACATTCCGGGTTGGTTTACTCTGCATCAAACCTGCCCATCACATGATACCACCCTCCCCTCCCCACACACAGTAGGTCACAGGAGGCTCAGTGAGATGATCGTTTGCAAAATAAATGGGACACATTTCCACAAAGGTTCAGTCTCCCCGGGAACATTTTACCAGAAGATGATATCCTGTATATTTTCAATAATGTAGGTGATGACAATTGACTTACCTGTCTTGCTTTTCTGCCACAGCAAGTCTATCCGCATCTGGGTCATTTGCTAGCACAATTTTAGTTTTGGTTTTGTCAGCCAAAGCAAAAGACAAAGTCTGAAAAGGAATGTGGAAACAAAAGATTACTTTAACCAAGACTCGAGCATATGGTAGTCTTTAAAAGCCTTTAGTTTTAGAAGAGCTCAAAGACAATGTTCCCCAAATGAAAGCTGAATTTCATTTCTGGAGCTGGTCTTGGTTGGTCACGTATGATCTTCCTCAGTCACATGATTGACAGCCCCAGTATGTGACCTGAGCCTGCCGGTGTGACCCACCACGCATGTGACAATGTGTGTATGGCTAGACAGGTATTTCCAGGCATGTCTAGGCAGGGGGTATGAGATCAGCTTTACAAACAAGATAAGCCGATTCTCTGAACATTACTACTGCCCCAACTTTTAAAAAAGTTATAGGAACCACAACGTAAACAACACTTCAATCAGAAAAATAATGTTAATGTTTTATTAGGAAATAAAAAAAATCATAATCTGAGAAAACTCCATTCTATTAATGCTTCTTTTTGGCATTAAGGGAGCACAGAAAATTAAATTAAATCAATTAAATTTAAAGTGCCATTTAGATTTCGGTTCACCCACCCAGATGCTAGAATGTCTAATTCATCTTTATTGAGACAGTATCTTATTCTGTCACTCAGGCTGGAGGACAGGGGCACGATCACACTCACCACAGTCACAACCTCTTGGGCTCACACGATCCTCCTGCCTCAGCCTCCCAAGAAGCTGAGACCACAGATAGATGCACATGCCTGGCTAACCTCTATTATTTTTTGTAGGTATGAGATGTCACTATGTTGCTCAGGCTGGTCTCGAACTCTTGGCTTCAAGCAATCTTCCCACCTTTGCCTTCCAAAATGCTGGGATTACAGGTGTGAGCCACCATGCCTGGCAAGAAGTCTAACTTTAAAGACCCCATAGGAAAAGAGTGACTAACAAATACGCATATTTCCATGATGAAATCAGTTTAACTTCAGCCCAATGAAAACTTGTTTTACTTGACAATAAGTGTTGAATATGAAAGATACATTTTTATAATTTCAAAAAAATGAGGTTACCAAGACACCTTTACCCTCTTCGGGATTTGGGTATTTCACTGTCGGGAACTCAGGATCGGGATCTTTCTGCTCGGACACGGCCTCAGGAGGAACAAGGTCAAAAGCCTTGAAAGCCGACTGCACGAAGTTATGCCCCACCCCGTGGACGGAGGTGTGCACGAACTTCACCTTGGTCTCTCTGTTCACATTCCTAGAATCAGACACACCATGAAAAATGACAAGAGATAGAGATATGGCTCTCAAAACTGGAAGGCTTGCAAAATGTCAAGGAGCCAGAACAGTCAGAATGGAAGGAATCGATGTAATAAGAATGTATAGGCCAGGCACGGTGGCTCACATCTGTAATCTCAGCACTTTGGGAGGCCAAGGTGGGAAAATTGTTTGAGTCCAGGAGTTCAAGACCAATCTGGGCAACACAGCGAGACCCTGTCTCTACAAAAAGTAAAAAAATCAGTCAGGCATGGTGGCATATGCCTGTTGTCTCAGCTACTTGGGAGGCTGAGGCAGGAGGATCACTTGAGCCCAGGTGGTTGAAGCTGCAGTGAGCCATGATGGTGCCACCCACTGCACTTCAGTCTGGGTGACAGAGTGAGACCCTGACTCACATAAACAAAAAAAAGAGAAAAGAATATACAGTACAACTAAACATCTTTCTAATTCAATTAAAAAAACAAAACTTAGGCCGGGTGTGGTGGCTCACACCTATAATCCCAGCACTTTGGGAAGCTGAAGAAAGAGAATTGCCTGAGCCCAGGAGTTCAAGACCAACCTGGTCAACATTGGCGCTACAATTAAAAAAAAAATTAGCCAGGTGTGGTGGCATGCACCTATAGTTCCAGCAACTTGGGAGGCCGAGGCAGAAGGATCATCTGAGCCCAGTAGGTCAAGGCTGTAGTAGCCATGATTGCGCCACCACTGCACTCCAGCCTGGGCGACAGAGTGAGACTCTGACTCAAAAAACAACCACCAAAAGCTTATCCACTCCCTCCCAAATATATTTTTCCCCCAACACGTTCAAGTTTTATACTTGACTCTGTAGTTACTTTCAGCCAATGGGCTTCCTTTCAGGGTCTGTTTTATGAGCAGCTTTCTCATCTAGAGACAGATACAACGAAGAAACCCGGGCTCAGACTCACCACAGACCCAACAGATGCCTGGCAGGGATGGTGCCAGGGCCAGGCCCGTGCCAGCTCCAGGGCCCCATATATGTACATGTGTTTTAGAGACAGGGTCTCACTTGTTGCCCAGGCTAGAGTACAGTGGCAGGATCACAATTCACTTGAACTCCTGGATTGCATCCTCCTAAGTAGTTGGGACTACAGGCATACACCACCACTCCTGGCTAATTGTTTTTTTCTCTTTTTTTGGTAGAGATGGGGTCTGGCTATGTTGTCCAGGCTAGTATCAAACTCCAGTATATTCCTTATCAGCCTTAGAAATGATTTTTAAAATGTGCTGCTTCACAAAATGTGATGGGTTGTCCCATCCATGGTTATAAAACAAGTAAAACTTTTTCTTTGCCTATTAACAATTCTGTTTGATACAGTGTCATGATCTAGGGACTTGATATAGAACAACAATAAACATCGAAATTATCAGAAGTTATAGAAAAGTAAATAGAAGCTTTTAAAAATTTCAAGTGCTCTGACTACTAGAATCTTAGGCTATTATCCATTTCTGTGGGAAATTATAAATGAACAAAGTCTTTCCTAAGAGAATAGTGGTTTAAAACAAGCATACCTTTGAACATGAAATGCATCTGGGAAAATAAATATGCAAGATTAGGAAGGACAAATCTGGAAATAATCTATTGGATATTAAAACATATTACAAAACTATAGTCATTAAAATAGTTTAGCACTAGATATAAAAAGGCAGGTTACAGGAACAGAATGGATAGTTCAGAAGTTAATCCGATTTTAAATAAAATGTACAGAGGAGCAATAAAGCTGAGTGGTTATCACGCTCTGGAGTCAGCCTTGGGATGTAAATCCTGGAGCTCTGCTATTTATAAACGATGTGATTGTTGGCTGTTTACTTAGCCACTCCGTGTTGCACTTTTCTCATATGTAACGTGGTAATTCACCAGAATTCAGTATTGCTGTGAGACTTAACGTGAGATTACAGGTGATAGACCTCCAGCAGTTATCTGATATATAAATAAGCAACAGATTAATGTTAGAAATTGTTTCATAAAGGTGACATTTCCAATTAGTTAAAAAGAGACAGACTCTTCTATTTATTGTGTTGGTACAGCTGCAAACCTTTTAGAAAAAATCTAGTCTGCTTTCCTCATTTACATTTAGAAATTAGGAGATTTCACATATAAAATCCAGGTTTCCAGTTTCTTTGAGGAAGAAAAGTTCAGATGATGTGGTAACTCCAATGTATGCTTGCATATGGCACCACTCAGCAGTCTGGCTGATCCTTTCAGATGGGATTAGGATTCTACCTTCAGCACTGGGGCTGCCACTCCCAGGCGGTCTAGCAAATACAATTATTAGAAAAAGTCTACAAATTCAGCTTCTTTAAAATCAGTGGTTTCATATTTGCAGCTGTTTACCCAACAAATGCCTAACATCCAGGATCTATAAGGAGCTCAAACGAATTGACAGGAAAAAAAAAACATTAAAAAGTGGGCAGGTCGGGTGTAGTGGCTCAAGCCTGTAATCCCAGCACTTAGGGAGGCCAAGATGAGTGGATTGCCGGAGCCCATGGGTTCGAGACCAGTCCAGGCAACTTGGTGAGACTTCGTCTTTACTATATATATGTATTTATATATATATATATATATAGTATATAAATTGCATATTGTATATATATATATATATATAAAATTAGCAAGGTGTGGTAGTGCACATCTGTAGTTCCGGCTACTTTTGAAGGTTGAGGTGGAAGGATTGCTGGGACCCAGCAGGTCGACGTTGGGGTGGCTGTGGGTGTGCCACTGCACTCTAGCCTGGGCAACGGAGTGAGACTCCAACTAAAAAACAATAAAAAAAGTGGGCAAAGGACATAAATAGACACTTCTCAAAGGAAAACATTCAAGCAGTCAACAAACATAAGAAAAAATGCCCAAGCTTACTAATCACTAGAGAAATGCAAATCAAAATTATAATGAGGTACCACCTTACACTGGTAAGGATGGCTTTCATTAATAAGTCAAAAAACAAGCTGGACTCGGTGGCTCAGCCTGTAATCCCGTGCCTTTGGGAGGCTGAGGTGAGTGGATTGCCTGAGCCTGCGGGTTTGAGACCTGCCTGGGCAGGCGAGACCTCATCTCTACAATAAATCAAAAAATTAGCCGGGCGTGGTAGCGCACACCTGTAATTTCGGCTACTCGGAAGGCTGAGGTGGAAGGATCGCCAGAGCCCAGAAGGTTGAGGCTGCGGTGACCGGGAGTGGCCACTGCACTCCAGTCTGGGCAACAGAGTGAGACTCCAACTCAAAAAAAAAAAAAGGCAAAAAACAACAGGTGTTGGCACAGCTGTGGAGAAAAGGGTATGCTTCTGCACTGTTGGTGGAAATGTACGCTATTCAGCCTTTCTGGAAAGCAATGTGGCATATTCTCAAAGAACTAAAAATTGACCTTCCACATGGTCTAGCAATCCCTCTTCTGGGAATATACTCAGAGGAGCATAAATCGCTCTCCCGAAAAGATATCCGCCTACGTATGTTCACTGCAGCACTATGGAAAACAGTAAAAACATGGGACTAACTCAGAGGCCCATCAGAAGTGGGCTGGATAAAGAAAATATACACAATGGAATAATATGCAGTCATAAAGAACAACAAAATCATGAACTCGGCAGCAACATGGACATAGCTGGTGGCCATCATTCTAAGTGAACTGTCACAGAAACAAAGGACTGGATACTACTTGTTCTCACTTACAAGTGGGCCTTAACTTAAGGTCAGTGATGGCACAGCCGTTTACCTGTGGAAACAGTATTTTTTAAGGTCTTCAAAATAGTCGTTATTGATGGAAGCACTTGGGTCGTGCAGCAGTGGGCTGCCATCAATTGAAGAGTCATCCCAAGCTTGAGGCCATGGCTCTAGATTTTCTTCAATAGCTTGAGAAATCCCTTTGTCATGAGGAGAGATGATCTGAGCTCCATTATCCCAGTAGACCTGGGGAATCCAGGAACACATTCATAAGGTCAGTGGGAACAGAGCACCCAGAACCTGTGCTCCCCGATATTAAAGGTCTAGGATTCTCACAAAAGGACGTATGTGTAGAGACAAAAACACCAAGCCGGTACCTTATAGCCATTATCCTGCTTCGGGTTGTGGGAAGCGGTGACCATGATCCCTGCACAGAGTTTCAGATGTGATACTGTGTAGGGCTGCAGCAAAACAGGAAACAAGAAATAGTTGCTAACAAAAAGTTAGATATACTTAAAATGTCTATTTATATTTGTGCCAATTTGTTCCATTTTAACTACTATGACACATAAATGTCATCATGTGTCATTCAATATTTCTGTGCCACATCCAAGCAGTATATGCTTATTACCCTTGGAATGAACTGGCTGCTCAAATTCCAGGATGTGTGATCTAACAAAAGTGAGTAATTACCCAGATGCCTTCTCATTCTGTCTTCTATTCGGTAAAGTTACAAAACTCCTCACACAAAAAGATGGTCTAAGGCCGGGCATGGTGGCTCACGTCTGTAATCTCTGAACTTTGGGAGGCTGAGACAGGAGGGGTGCTTGAGTACAGGAGTTTGCGATCAGCCTGGGCAACAAAGCAAGACCTTAGCTCAACAAAAGAAATTTAAAAATTAGCCAGGTGTGGTGGTGTGTACCTGTAATCTCAGCTACTCGGGAGGTTGAGGTGGAAGGATCACTTGAGCCCAGGAGGCTGTGGTGAGCTGTGATTGTGCCACTGCACTCAAGCCTGGGTGACAGAGTGAGACTCTGACTAAAATAAAATAAAACAAAATAATAAAATAAAATCATATATATTCTCAGCATCTGGCCTGACCCTTGACAGTTCTGTTTACTTCAAAGCAACAGCCATAACAGTCCCTACTGTCCTTGTCTTTAGACTCTGATACATAAAGAATCTGATGACAGGCCTGGTCAAACATGCCAAACAAGTTCTCTGTACTAGCCAGGAATAGTATTTAGAATGAAAAATTTGTATAAAAAGTGGGCACACCAACTTTTCAAAAATATTCATGATATGACAAGGTTTGAGATGAATTCAAATTTAGACCCCAGAATTTCCTAGTTGAGACAGCTGGGAAAAAGAATAATACAACAAACTTAAAACAAACAGACAAAAGATCATTTTGCTAACTCACTCAAATATCCTTAGAATGCAAGCAAAAGGAAAACAGCACTTTTTTTTCAAGTTGGAGTCTCACTCTGTTACCCAGGCTGGAGTGCAGTAGCATGAACACCGCTCACTGCAGTCTCGATGTCCTGGGCTCGGGCAATCCTCCTACCACAGTCTCCTGAGTTGCTGGGACTACAGTCACATGCCACCATGCCTGGCATGTTTTAAAATTTTTTTGTAGAGATGAGGTCTTGCTCTATTGCCCAGGCTGGTCTCAAACTCCTGGGCTTAAGCCATCCTCCTGCCTCAGCCTCCCAAAGTGATGATGGGATTACAGGCATGACTCACTGCACCCAGCGGAAAATAGCACTTTTCAAAAAACCAATTCTGGGCAACTCCCTCGGGTCCCCTCCCACTGCGGGAGCTTTTATGTTCTCTCAATAAATCCTGCTTTCCAAAAAAACAAACAAACAAACAAACGCCAATTCTGATGAATCAAAAGTTGAATACTAGAGACACATTTCCGCGATGCCAGAGAAACATTCCTGGGGGGAAAAGAGATTGCTTGATAAATGCCTGGGAGCATTTCTGTCCTTCAAACCGTCCAGCCCCAACAGCACTAAGGACTGTAAAACTCAGCCAAGTCCCATGCCTGCTCCAGAGACAGAAAATTATCCAGAGAAAAGGCTACTTACCACAAAGGGGGTTGGGGTTATGCCAGAAAAGAGGTATACAGGAATCCCCTGGCTGATGAACGTGGTTGCAGCGAGTCGGGCAAACCTGGGAACACGGAAGGACAGAGAAGACAAGGTGTCAGGACTGTGGGTGACAGAAACCAGGAGCACTCCCTTAGGGGGAATGCGGCAGCGAGCTCTGGGGCAACGCCATTTCCAGTCTTTATGCAGGCACAGGACATCTGACCTGGAGGACTCTCAGGAGACAGGCCAGCCACGCCTCTGTTTCACAGAGGTGAGATGAAAGCTAGGACTGCGGGACCTTGGGACCACAGGCCAGGCACCTCACCCAAGCAGCAGCCCAGATGGGCCACACCCAGCCTTTCAGCTCCCAGACAATCTCAGAGGTAGCCGCCCCCAGGGCATCTGGAATGTCTGGAGACATTGGCATACTGGGGATGGGGGGACACACTACAGGCAGCTGGTGGGGAGAGGCAAGGGTGCTGCTAAAAACCCTGCAATGCACAGGGCCATCCCCCACAACAAGGAGCCACTGGTCAGTGTGCAGTCACATGTCAACAGTGCAGAGGCTAAGAAGCTTCAGTCTAAGCCATCACAATCCAGTACTCACCACGCAGACCACAACATGGTTAGAGACGGTTTTATTTGAAATATAAGACACACTGGCAAGTGCATGTACACACACACACACACACACAAACACACACACACACACACACACACACTTGGTTTTAATCGGTCTTTAAAAAAAAACTTAGACCAGGTGTGGTGGCTCACACCTGTACTCTCAGCACTTTGGGAGACCAAGGCAGGAGGATGACTTGAGGCCAGGAGTTTAAGACCTGCCTGGGCAAGACCTCATCACTACAAAAAAAAAAAAAAATCAAAAGATTAGCTGGGTGTGGTAATGTGTGACTACAGTCCCAAATACAAGGGAGGCTGAGCAGGAGGATCGCCTGGGCCCAGGAGATCAAGGCTGTAGTGAGTTGTGATTCTGCCACTGCACTCCATCCTGGGCAGCAGAGTAAGATCCCTACAAGGAAGGAAGATTGAAAGAAAGGAAAGCTTCAAATCTTTGACATTTTTCTAAATTTCCACAGCAACTGGCTTTAGGGCAAGACACAGAAAATGGCATCAACTCTTTCTTCACGCTTGGTGTAAAACACTTTGCCAGAAATAAATGAGCCATTTACTTAGAATGAACAACACCATGCCATTACTGGATTAAATGACCAGATCATTCATTCTCTCCCCAAAATATTTCTTCAGCACTAGCTCAATCGAATGCTATTCCGAGGGTGGCTGGAGCTCAAAGAGGAGCCCTTCACATTTTATATATAGCGCGAGACCCTCTACTTTAAAAAAAGAGAGAACTAATAAACATTTTTTCAGGTAAAATTCTAAGACCACAATTGTTTCTGACTCTTTGGAAACTTCCATGTACTCATCATGAACATTTTACCATGAACTGATTTGACACGTATGTTACGATCTCTAAAAGCCTGCATGGTAGGCGATAGAGAGCAGCCATTCCACCCCATCCAACTCTGAGACTTGAGCCATGAACGCAAATGGAATCAGTAACGTCAGTGATACGGCTTCAGGCCAGAGCAAGAGAGGCCTGTCCCTAATGGACAATGCTAACATATCTGAAGGATGTGTCAGCCAGATGTGTCAGCAAGACGCTGAACAGTCAGCCCAACATGATGACACTTCAGAAGCTGACCAGGCAGACGTGGCCATGTGTACACATGGGCAGGCTCTGACTGTATATTCACTAACCATAAATGACAAGGGAGTACCCTGGTCTATATGACCTCACCCTCTCGTGAATGTAGTTCATGTGCATTTATCCCCCAGAGCTGCAACTTTTCTCCTGCTTTATTGAAAAAATAAGAAAATCACATTTTTGAGCCTGTAAGACTAAGATCCTTATGCCTTCCTGAGTTCAATCTGCGGGTGGCATCACCTGGTGTACTTTCCTGGTCACGTTCCCTCCCTCACGGTCATACATTCTTCCCATCAATGTTTCACCCTTAGATTGGAAACTCCCAGTAGGCAAAGACAGATACTTTACAAACTCACTCAGCTCTTTAAAGTGAATGAGCGTTTTCTTTAATATTAAATATCTGTATCTTCTCCCAATCTACAGAACTATTAATACTTTTGGTCTGGAATGATTAACAATTCATCACAATGGGAGGGGGTTGTTCAAGTAAAAAAGAGGGTCATGCAACAGGTTAAGATCAGGGATTGGAAATGCAGCCCAGGTTGTCGATAAAGTTTTATTGGAACACTGCCACGCCCATGTATGCATTTTCTACAGTTGTTTTTGAGCTTCACAGTGGAGTTGAGTCATCGTGACAGAGACCATGACAGGCACTGTGTGAGATAGCCACTCTGCACTTTAGAGAAAAAGTTTGCTGACCCCTGGTGCCAGCCTCCTTATACTTAAATTGTGACTCTTCCTCTCACTTTATAATCTCAGGCAAAGATAAAAGTGCACACTTTATAGGTGGTTGTAAGGATTAAGTGAGTAAATACCTATGTGCCTGGTTCATAATTAGTATCCAAAAGATTACTACCATCGCTACTGCCATTATCATTATCACCATCATCATTATATACCTACAGCTACATAAGTGAGCCCCACTGGTTTGAAAATGTTACAAAAATGCAGCTTGAAATGGGCATGCACCATTGGGAAGGGGGTCATGCGGCTTATGAGAAGCAGAGAAAATAGTTACATAAAAGGAAGTAAAGAAGGGGGAGAAATAATATTGCCAGTTAAAAAAAAATTGTCTTTCATTTGGATAGGTTGTACATTCTTTATTTTATTTTACTTTTTCTGTGTCAGAATCATACTCTGTAGCCCAGGCTGGAGTGTACTGGCACGATCACGACCTTGACCTCCTGGGCTCAGGTGATCTCCCGGTTCAGCCTCCCAAGTAGCTGGAACTACAGGCACATATCACCACACCTTGCTAATCTTATGATTATGATTTTTTGGTAGAGATGAGGTCTCACTATGTTGCCCAGCCTGGTCTTGAACACCTGAGTTCAAGAAATCCTCTTGTCTCAGTCTCCCAAAGTGCTGGGATCACAGGCGTGAGCCACCATGCCCAGCCTAGATAGGTATTACATACTAAATTGTCAAAATATTTTTATTTTCTTAACCCAAATATAAAACCAAAATTTTTAAAACTTGCAAATAAAATAAACCCATCATTTTGTGGTTAAGCAATATAGCTAATCAATGTATTTAAAGTCAAGCTATTGAAATAGTGATTAAAAGTAAAACTGCAAAATAAACTACAGAAAAATCATTTTCTAAAAGTGTTTTAATACCTTCTGCTGC